TTTAATATATGACATCTCTGTGGCATTTGTTTTGTCATTTTTTTAACCATTTACTTGGTTACAACAACTTTAAAGATATTTTTGGTGGCGAGTACAGGGCCCGAACCCACGACATGCGCGTTATCAGCACGAAAAAATATCTTTCCTACTAATCTTATAGTAGACGGAAGAGTCCAACATAGACTCTCTAGAGGGAGGACACCACAACAGTTTTGTAATATCAGTTCTCACATATGACAGTGAATGCTGGACAATCCCACAGACGAAGAAGCAACTTGAAGTGATATAAATGTGGTTCTACAGAAGGATGCTGAGAATATCGTGGACTGAACATGTGAACAACGACGAAGTTTTCAAGAAAATGGAAACAAAACGGAAACTTACACTTAACATCAGTTGAGGTTTCTAGGGCACATAATGAGGAAAGAGAGCTTGGAGAATCTGATACACAAAAGCAAGATGGACAGAAGAAAACGAGTTTGTGTAAACGGATGACACAACAGGGATTAGGTGAGATAACAAAAAGTCAAAATTTACTTAGAGGTACAACGAACAGGAAACTGTGGAGAACCGTGATCGCCAACGTGATGAAGTAGAAGTTTCCAATATTAAATCAGTGGTTGTTTTTAGTTTGCAGTGTACCTAATACCAATAAAGAATTGTCTTAAAATGGATATGGAAATGGGGGGGGCACTAGGGATGTAGCCTGAGATATAAGGGGTCGATAGCTTGAAAAATCATGGAACCCACTAACGTAGTTCTACAGAAGTTTACTGAGGATACTATGATCCGAACACGTAAACAACGATGAAGTTTTAGAAAAAAAATGGAAGCAAAAAGGACACTTAACATCATTGAAATTTCTAGGGTACATAGAGGAAAATTTGATATTCACAGAACAGATTGAAGGCAAGAGGGACAGAGGAAAACAACGCATAACATATTTAGTGAGCATGAGTAAATGAATGGCTGAACAAGGTTTAGGAGAAATAACAAAAGGACAAGGTTTATTAAGAGCTACAAGGGACAGGAAGTTGTGGAGAGTCATCACTTACGTCGTCGATGGACACGAAACAAAGAAGAAAAAGACGTATTGGATCAGCTGACGAACATTCACGCCAGGATAAGGGCCAGGAATGATATAATAAATAAGTAATATATTGATTTTCTCAGGGAGGCTTAGATGTGGCACATGGCCGAAAGTATGGGGCACACAGTGAGGATCGAACTCACTATTCAGTTGTAACAAGACCAGCTTGGTAACCATTACTCCACGCCGAGTCGCCCAATAAGTAAGTAATATATGTCTGACTACAATGCATCCTCGAAACTGAAGCGTACGTTACGATAATAAATATAATTGTGTCCTGATAACCTCAATCTATTTGGTTTCATTTTGCGTCATGTTGCTTAGGGACAAGGTCAAAAATCAGTGACACGAAATTAAAACAACAAAAAGTAATTTCTGGGACGAGTTATCATTATTTTTTTTTTTTTTTTTTTTACTATTGCCCAAACAAACAAGGCCTAAGTGCCAGTCAAGGTAGAGGGTCCCTAAATGAAGATGCTGTAAGGGTGTTTAGGTTGGAAGCAGGGGTTGAATATTATATGATGATATGTAGGATAGATAAGAATTGACCCATGAAGAGGTTAAGATTTTAGCAATCAGGGAAGCATTCTTTAGGGAGTCTGTTTGGCCAATGCAGCAGTTTAGGGGAAGAAGCTGTCCGAGTGGAAGTTCCTCCTCGCCAATGAAATACGAAGGTAGTGACAACGACACACACACACACACACACACACACACACACACACACATATATATATATATATATATATATATATATAGATAGATAGATAGATAGATAGATAGATAGATAGATAGATAGATAGATAATATTAGTGCAAAATATACATACATATGCAAAATATATAAATACCAATACATGTATATTTTTATAAAAAAATTTCCAAGAGGATAGAATCCAGGTAAAACTCAATGTCTAGGACAGAGTAAGGATATAAAAGGCTTAAACACTAATATTCCATGGACATAATTTATTCCATCTGTTTTCTTTTTGAATTTGTAGGTCTGATGAATTGATCGTATTTACGATTCCAATGGAATAAATTATGACCATGGAATATTAGTGTTTAAGCTCTTTTTTATATATATATATATATATATATATATATATATATATATATATATATATATATATATATTTTAAAAGTGAACACTGAAGTCAACACTTAGTGGCGACAGGCTGTTTCATGCTAGACGCAATCGTCAGGCCACGAGTGTTGGCCACGAAAACAACACTCGCGGCCTAACAATTGCGTCTAGTCGCCTCTAAATGTTGACTTCAATGTTCACTTTTTATATTTACACTCGCTCTACTTCTGATATTGAGCACTTTATCCCATAAATATAGCACACCTTAAGAGCATATTCTTATATATATATATATATATATATATATATATATATATATAGTGTATTGGGGGCAACCTTCAGATGTTGGAGGCCATCTACATTAAAAACGAAGCAGTCCACACTTAACAAAATTAAATTTCAAACTAGTCACAACACATTACATTGCATCTAGACATTGGTTCTGTTGTAATACTGTAATGATCTCCGTCTGCTATTCCGCGACCGTTATCACCGCATAGCAATCTTCTATGTCAAAATAACAAAATATCATCTTTGACAGTGGATATCTTTATTCCATGTCTGTATAACCACTCTGAGGATTGTCCATGGGAGCCGAAGGGAACGGTCATAATTTTCTATTGTCGAATTGCCATTTTTTCCTATTTATCCACTTTTGCCATTTTTACCGTTGCCATTTTTTCCGCTGCCATTTTTAGCCTGCCATTTTTTCCGTTGCCATTTTTACCGCTGCCATTTTTACCGAGCACCATATATATATATATATATATATATATATATATATATATATATATGTCCTATGTGTAAGAGATGCGCAACAATTCCAATTTACTAAACTAAATGTTTTCCTGGCGTTTCTATTGAACGTTCTCAATATCTTGCCTTCAAAGAATTTCACAAATTAGGCAATTTAGTAAAGTTGAGGCGAGATGAAACTGACAGCCGTATCTTTTGAATTCATCTCTAATGCAGAATCCAGTTCCAAAGTAGGGAGTGCCCATTAAAGACCTACAAGCATTCGTTGTGTGAATAGGGAACGACGGTGAAAAGTGACGGAGAAGGAATGCTGGCAGTTTCGCCCTTATGGCGGAGAGTTCAGTGGTCATGGTCACGGTCAAATGAACAGGAAGGTCGGTCTGTGGGGCTTAGAGGTGAGGAAACGGCCAGATATTTTGATGGATGGTGCCATGTGTCAGTCGGCGCGTAAATGAGAGAAGACTGTTCATCAAAAATTCTAAGTTTCTGACATTCAATCATGAACTTGTCCGATGTGTGAACACTTCAAAATAAACAAAAGAACTTCTTTTATGTACCGTTTCGCCTCGATCATTGCTCTCCACAACTTCCCATTCTTTATAACACATGGTAATATTAGACTTTTTACTATGCCGTTCACTGAGATACAAACATAAATTTATCTAAAGCGTGAATACAGCAAAATAAATAATTTTCTTTTATGCGTCGTGTCCATCCAGGACATTAGCAATCACGGCTCTCCACAACTTCCTATTCTTTGTAACACTTAGTGATATTAGTCTCTTTACTATGCCGTCCACTGATATTCTAATTTCTCTAAAGCGTGAATACCTCAAAATAAATTAACGTTTTTTATTTTAAATGCCGTGTCCCTTCAAGACTCTGGTGATCATAGCTCTCCACAACTTCCTATTCTTTGTAAGTCTTAGAAATATGTGTTCTTTTACTATGCCGTCCACTGAGATTCAAACATAAATTTATCTAAAGCGTGAATACCGCAAAATAAATAATCTTCCTCTTTTATGCGTCGTGTCCATCCATGACATTAGCAATCACGGCTCTCCACAGCTTCCTATTCTTTATAACACTTAGTAATATTAGTTTCTTTTAATATTAGTTTACTGATATACTAATTTCTCTAAAAGGTAAATACCTCAAAATAAATTAACGTTTTTTTCTTTTAAATGCCGTATCCCTTTAAGGCTCTGGAGATCACGGGTATCCACAACTTTCTATTCTTTGTAACTTTTAGTAATATTAGGCTTTTTACTATGCCGTCTTATATACAAGTTTCTCTCAAGCGTAAATACCTCAAAATAAATTAACGTTTTTTTTCTTTTAAATACCGTACTCTTCAAGACTCTGGTGATCATGGCTCTCCATAACTTCCTATTCTTTGTAACGCTTAGAAATATTTGTTCTTTTACTATACCGTTCACTGAGATTCAAACATAAATTTATCTAAAGCGTGAATACCGCAAAATCCATCCAGGACATTAGCAATCACGGCTCTCCACAGCTTCCTATTCTTTGTAACACTTAGTAATATTAGTCTCTTTTAATATTAGTTTACTGATATACTAATTTCTCTAAAAGGTAAATACCTCAAAATAACTTAACGTTTTTTTCTTTTAAATGCCGTATCCCTTTAAGGCTCTGGAGATCACGGGTCTCCACATCTTCCTATTCTTTTCAACTCTTAGCAATGTTTGTCTATTTAATATCCCCCAACTGAGATTCAAAAATAAATACTTAAATAAAAGATTAAAAAATGAATACTTAAATAAAAAGTGATCTTCTTTTTGCGTACCTTGTCCCTTCAGGACATTGGCGATTATAGCCCTCTACAACTTTCTGTGTACAATCATCCTACTGAAAATCAAACATAAATTTATCCAAAGTCTCAATACTTCAAAAAGCGATTTTCTTCTATTGTGCGCCGTTTCACTTCAGAGTGTTGGCGATCATGGCTCTCCACGACTTCCCATAATTTCTAGCTGATAGTAATGCTTGTCTTTTTACTATATCTCCTACTTAGATTCAAACATAAATTTGTCTAAAATGTGAGGGCATGCAGCCACATCACGTTGAAAGACCGGTTCCCACACAATCACCGAAGTTAAGCAATGTTGAGCCTGGTTAGTATCTAGATGGGTGACAGCTTGGGAATACCAGGCGCTGTAAGCTTGGATGCGCGGATGGTGTAAAGGTTAGGAATTATTAGTTGAAGAGCCGAGTTTCTTAAATTCACTTACGCGCAAATACTCTTGGGAAAAGGTATGAATCCAACTCTCCTCCCCACGGCTATGGGTTAATTAGTATTTGCATACAAAATATTTACATTTCGGCATTAAACCCACGCTAAACAAAACCAACCAACGATATAAGTATATCTCTGATTATATATATATATATATATATATATATATATATATATATTTAGTTTATGCAAACTTAGGTAATCCGTATGGGTAGACCTGAGGAGGATGATATCCAGAGAGCTCAATGTAAAATTCAGAGCAGATATGTTTGAATAAAAACAGACCACGTTAAGATTCCATGTAATAAGTTATTTCACCATAACCCCTTTAACAGGGTTCTGGATCATCATTATTCAAACAAAAATATATATATATATATATATAATATATATATATATATATATATATAGAGAGAGAGAGAGAGAGAGAGAGAGAGAGGTTAGTTAATAAAACGAGGACTATATAATCAGTACGATAACCATTTATTAAATATTAATTATTAGTCATATACAGAAATGAAGCACGGAAAGAAAGGTTCTAAGTTCGGAATTTTCGGACACGCCTGTGTCCTTCATCAACGGACCAATGAATAGACAGAGAAATGGGAATTACTTACCGATAGATGTTTTTTGTGAATGGTGCATTTTCTAGTGGAAATCATTCTGTCTGATTCCTCGATGTGCAAAACTTTTATGAAAATAAACTTAAATATAAAATTTTGATCGGTGTAAAAGCGTTAGGTAGGTTTATTATTACTAGTTGGGGCGTAGGGGAGTGAGATTGTAAACATGGATGAAGAGAGTTATATGTTGGGGAGGGAAGAAAGACGTCTCGCATGTCGCATGTTGCAGCCAAAATTGTCCGACCAAGTTTAGAAAGACGGGCTGTGGTTAGAATAACGTGTGATGAGAAAAAAATGAGGAGGAAAATGCAATATATAATAATAAAATATTATTAAATCAAATGAAATCAAATTTAAAAAAAAAGGAAGGAACAATAAAATGCATAAAATTTTTGGGTAAAAATTTGGAAATCTATTGATAACAAAAAAAGGGGGGCACAGAAAATAAAATAAAATGAAAAATAATAAAGGACAAGCTGAGATGAAAAGCGTATACATATATAGATGCACATGCGCACATAACAGTGTGTAAATATACACAAAACATCACGTAAACATAAATCATTTGAATATATATATATCAGGTCATCCCATAAGTTCTGTGCGAATTTTAACTTTTTGTTAAAATGAACGAAATTTAAAGAGTATTTTATAATTTCTAATGGAGCTGAACATTATTTTTATGTTTAGATGCATTTAAACTGATCAAATTTTATTTCAGAGAACAATAAGATTAAATGTTGTTTGATTAAAACCCTGCTAACATGGAAGTACCCAAGAATCATTTGAGGCACATAATGCTTTATGAGTTCAAGAAAGGACACTCAACAGCCAAAGCGGCTAGAAACATTCAGTCAGTTTATGGAGAGGAATGTGTGAATGAAAGAACTTGGAGAAGATGGTTTGCAAAATTCAGAGGTGGAGATTTCACCCTTGAAGATGAAGATCGAACCGGACGTCCAGTTGAGTTTGATGAAAAGCTTCTTGAAGCAGACCTTGAAGAAAATCCTGCTTTATCAGTTGAGGAATTGGCAGTGGTTCTCAGTTCAAACCATACAACTGTTGATCATCATCTTGAACAACTTGGAAAAGTTCCTAAACTTGGAAAATGGGTGCCTCATGAATTGTCTGAATACAACCTCAAATCCCGAGTTGACATCTGCTCTTCTCTCCATTCTTGCCAACTTGTTTCACCTTTTTTGGATAGACTTGTGACTGGCGACGAAAAATGAATCTTTTATCGAAATGTTAAGCGTCGTAGACAGTGGCTTGGTAAAGGGGAAGGACCCCAGCCACAGCCGAGAAGGGAACTTCATGGGCAAAATGTTCTTCTTTCAATCTGGTGTGATCGCCAAGGATTAATCCACTTTGAATCCTTACCACTTACTAATGCAACAATTAATACTGTCAGCAATTAGAGCGTTTGAACCAAGCTTTGAGGAAAAAAAGACCTGCTCTAGTGAATCGAAAAGAGGTGATGTTTCATCAGGACAATTCGCAACCCCACACAGCAAGAATCACGTTACAAAAGATCGAAGAACTTGGTTGGGAGAAAATTCCTCATCCACCTTATTCTCCTGATCTTGCTCCTTCAGACTACCATTTGTTTCATAGCTTACAGAATAATTTGGAAGAAACAGCTTTTGTAACACAGGAAGAGGTTAAAACTGACATTTGTGAGTTCTTCG